TACCTAGGATCTAGGATTAACCATCGTTACTGCTTCTTATTTTTTCTTCATACAAATTTATTATATATATGCATAAATGTAAGTATGTGACAGGTACTGTGTGCAAACATATATCTATAACCACCTTAATACTTCGCCCTGTTAAACATACTAACAATTTCCATATACTATACCTAGGATTAACCATCGTTACTGCTTCTTATTTTTTCTTCATACAAATTTATTATATATATGCATAAATGTAAGTATGTGACAGGTACTGTGTGCAAACATATATCTATAACCACCTTAATATTGTGTACTTCGCCCTTATAGCTAAGGATTGTTATTTACATATACTTATGTAAACCGTGAGTGCCTTTGTACAGTTTTATTTTGCCTTGTTATCAATTTAACTAGGGCAATACAGATTCAAGGTAAGAACAATTTAAAATTAAATGTCTTTTTCTCTTCTAAACCAGATTTCTTGTTTAAATGTCAGCTCCACAGTGCTTCCTTTAAGGTTCATCTTTCCCTTCCGACATGGAAGAAGACATGTATCTGTACAGATCTGTCAGTGATGGCAACAGTGATGGGAAGTGTGGAAAGTCACAGAATGCTTTACTGTTGACTGCACAGAGACATTGGAAGGGCCTAATGCAGCTGTGGGTTGGTTGGTACATCAGAGAACTGCAGCCATCTACTTAGTCAAAGATATTTACCATCCCAGTAGAATTGTGTCTGCTAATATGTAATAATTTCTCCTCCAGCGTGAGTTTCCAACAGTGTGGCAGGATGCTCTGCAATACGTATGTAAGAGCTGACAGCCACTGGACTCCCTTGGGTTTGCAGAAAATTTCTTCATTCAGGTTGATAGGACCTGTCTTTGTTTCAATACACATAAAAAAGAATGAGAACACGAGAAGGACTGCCTGGGTCGAGGTTAGGATCAGACAAATTAGAAAGTCACACTCATATTTTGAGAATATGTCTCCATGTTGTAAAGCACACGAAAGTTACCTGACTGCCCATTTAATGACGTTTAAATGACCCTCTTTAAACTCTTCTTTTCATTGAATGATATAGATGATTTTACTGTCTACCTGCCCTGTCCTGTTGATTATTTCCTTGTAGGAGTACAGCTCATCATATTAGTGTGGATGTTAAATATCTCCCAAAGTTTCTGAGATTAAAGCCTTGCTCACCAGTGTGGAAAATATTGGGAGGTGCAGAAATTTAAGAGGTGGGACCTGGTGAGAGGTCACTGGAGATGTGCCCTTAAGGGGATGATGGGATCACAGTTCCCCTCGTGTCCTGACTGGTTTGCTTTGCCATGAATTCCGGCTTCGAAATGGACTTACCACAGGCCCAAAACAAGGGGGATGACCAATCATGGACTGGACCTTCCCAAACTGTGAGTCAAATACACCTTTTTTCTTTATAATTATCTCATGCATTTTGTCATAGTGAGAGAAAGCTGACAAACAGAGTAACCACATCTACTTGGCAGGGTTCTGGAATCCAGAGGAAAACCTCCCCCAGGAGGTTGTCTTTCCTCCTTTTCTTTGTCTCTGAACTAGTAAATTAGATTTTTTACCTTAAATGATAAAATTTACTTTCAAAACTCTTTTTCAATCTGTAAAATGTTCTGGCATCACTACAGGACTCACCATGAAACATCTTGCCACTTGTGCAATTTCAAAGTCTGAAAAGCTGCCATGAATTTAGCAGACCTTCCCTATTCATGGCTTTAGCATTTACAGTGTTGATTATCTGTGGAGAATATGTTCAAGGTCCATGACACAGAGTGACTGGTGACTTTGTTATAGTAAGGAATTAGATTGGCATAAACTGGGATGCTAGTTTGCATGAAAGCCACTTTGCTAATGAAAGTAGTCAACCCATCACACAGCATTTTTGCTCAATGCACAGGTGGTGATACAAATGTATTTTTGTGAGACAATATAAGGTAGATGAAAATCTTAAAGAAAAGTTTTAATTACCATTGCTTTGCTATGTGATAACATGTGATTAAAAGCCATGGAGCCAAGAGCACTCTGTGAGTTGGATGACAGCATGAGCCCACTGGTCGCTTTGGTTGATGGAACTGTGAAAAAGATCCCTATGCAACTTCCTTCAACTGATTAGCGTAGATTAAGGGTTTTCCTAGTAAGACACTCATTTGGTGGAAAAATTCTGTGTTACCAACCACAGCTGCCATCTAAGTTATTCTCCCACACACTCTGCTCCCTAGATGACTAGAGAACTGGCAGCATGAGGGATGGCGAAGACAGGCTCACACCATTCCACACATTCTAATCTAAAGGAAGATTAACAGTAGCATATGAAATTGAAGAGTGGAAATATTCTATGCATTATTAGCAGATAAATACAATACTCAGAATCTACCCCTGTGAAATAAATGAGATAAACGAACCTTAACATTTTTAAAATTATTTATTTAATATGTATAATGTAAACAATAAATACCATAGTGCACGTGCGGAGCTCACATGACAAATTTCTGGAGTCAGTTCTCTTCTCCTACCATGTGAGTCCTGGGGTTGAACTCAGGTTGCCAAGCTTGGTGGCAAGCACCTGTATTTGTTGAACCATCTTCTCAGCCCAAGTATTTGTTTGTTTGTTTATTTTAATGAAAAGAAACATTGAAACACATTTTAAGGAAATAAAAGAGAGAGAGAGAGAAAGAGATTAGAGCACACAAAAGATAGAGCACATAAAAGAATCTAAATAATAATAATAATAATAAAAAGGATTTATCAACAGCAAAGAATTTATTCCAGGAAACAAAAGAAAACTGCAGACCACGAATACATTTCTAATGAGCATAAAACAGAGCAAAGACCCTGCTACGATGAGAGCAAAGCAGGAGAGCTGAAGCATAAGCAAGATGAGAGGAGACAGTGAGGTAATGGGTGGACGTTTCCATTCCTAAGAGCAGACATGTCTTTCCTAGCACTAAACCAAATGCTAAATCAAAAGAACCGTTTGAAGAGGCAACACTTTCTTGAAGATTCTGGTAAGGCAGATTAGCTAAATGTATAACATCATCCATGAATAAGAAATGTTAATATTTCCTAAATATCTTCCAATGTCACCAAAAGCCTGAAAGGAAATTGACATGCTATTAAAAAGATAAGATTACCACATTATCCCAGAGGCCTAAAAAATGCAAAAGCCAGGCATTTTCTGAAGGGAAAAATAATTAGTTAAGGCTGGTTATATTGTATAGGAAAACATATTACAGAGCCACAATAGCTAAAACAGCATCATTAAATATCCAAATACATGTGACTGTGTGCTGAAATTTCTAGTACAAAAGGTTAGTTCATCCCCCCAATTTAAATAGCTAGCAGAAGACGGAATTATATCATCAGGGTCTTCCTTCCTCTTTACAGAATAAGTCATCACGTAAGTTCATGCCTGTCTATTTCTTCAACTTCAAAAATAAAAACAAATTGTGCACAAATATTTGTCATCAGTGTTCCACACATTTCAACAGTTCAGTAGCTACTGCTGAAACAAGTCACCAGAGTCAGTAAGTAGCAGCTTCAGGCAATACAGACTCAGCTCTTAGAGCTCTATAGAGCAGAATACCCAGTGGGGCTTTCAGGGCTCCAGTCAAGGTGTCCAGCAGGCTGGTCCTTTCTGGAGGCTCCCTACAGAATCCACTCCCTCCCTGTTCCAGTGACCTCACTCTGATCTATCATCTCATGCTATATGGCC